GACGAAAGCCACCGATGGTTAGAGACCTTGAATGAAATGGCTCAGAATCGTTTGCAATCGCGCAGATGCATTTATTCTTTTTGTTCTCTCAAATCCTAAACTTTTTAATTCCTCATCACTTTATCTTTTTAAGTGTATTTGACTAAATTCTACTTCTTGAATAATATCTTCTAATCCTAACCTCTCCTTATACCGATAATACCTTTACTACCTTTACTACTATTGGATTCGAATTGACAATTACATCTCTGTGCTAATGTGGTAATGACAAAATGAACTGATGTACGTACATACGAAATTCTACGTTGTTATTGATTCATTGATTGATTGATTGACCACTTTAATGGCCTGTGATCTGACTCCGATGTTTACAAACCATTACACATGCTATGAAATAAATTTTCCCTTTAGCTTTGGCGAAACCCGTTTTAGCGACGGCTGTAATAAGAAGCCGAATAGGGTTTTGTGCATGAATTTATTTCATGAATTCATTCAATCAGACAGACATGAGAATGAAAAACGTACAACCAAAGCAAAGCAAAGTGAAGTGAAGTGAAGTAGGCGAATGAGCCAACTACATGCAATGAAGCATGATGATGTAATTGTAGTCAGACAATATTAGTCTAGACATAGAATAAGCGAAGTAAGCCTGCACACACACACACACACAAACACATTGAAGCGGAAATAACCAAGATCTGAGTAAATGATTGACAAGATCAAATGAGGTGTGAATAATGGCTAGAGAAGAATGAACTAATTAATTTGTCCAAACGGTGAGAAAAGCAATCTGGACTGGACATAAAAGTTTACACTCTCTTCAAAACCAGGTAATAAAATACATAGCATTTGATAACCGATTGTTTTAGCAATTGTTAAGTTAACAGTTTCCAATCCTTTAAACAATAATATTTTCATTACATTGCATAAACCTAATGAACATTACTCTCGACACTAAAGTCAATTTAATTTTCTTTAATTTAAACAAATCGAATTAGTTAAAGAAATCCTTAATTTTATTTGCATTTTCTGTTAAAATCAATACAGCATTTCATAATTTTATTTGAATATATAATCAATGTACTTAGATATTTCAAAATATAGTAATTAGCTCAATAATTATAGATTTCAAATAATGTTAAAATCTGAATAAATAGTATCACAGGGTTAGTATCCCTAACTCAGCTTTCATATGGTCTAAAAATGAAAATTTCGGTGTTGCAAAGTCAATGCCGGCCATGAGACAAAGGGTAATAAGAGTGTTTGAGCCCATTTGCATCAGGCTGGTCTGCATCTTAGGGTTATCCTATGTCATACTACGTGTTTACCATATGCTATACTGTTATAGTAGAGCTGAGGGTTTCACCAATGAGATCAGAGGTTCTCTGTGAACACTGTAGTAAGTATAGCTAACAATCCATAAACAAAATTGGTTAGCAGATTGACCGATTTTATTGGTACTGGTGGTTGTTTTGTAACACGCTCGAGAGCCATTGTCATTGAGGTGCTGTACTACATATCACCATTGCTAATAATAATGAGTTTGACAGTCATATAAGTGGGATGAGTCGAATTGGCCTGTTCACACGGTGCATATTGACTGACGTGATCATCGATCAGATACAATGATTATAAATGATGTGAATTGTCCACCAGAGTGTCAGGTACCTGTGTAGTTGCACCACGGGATTCAGCCAAACTGTTCACGTTGAAATGTTGACACGTGGGCAGTCTCCTTGGTTCTCCTGAAAACCAGTTTAAAATTACCCTTGCCAATAGAGGCTTAATTCATAATTTACATAAACAGAAGTATTGTTAAATAAGTATTCAAGCATTTTCAAGGAAGTAGAAGTGATCGAATAGGAGAATACATAGTTCACAGTTTATTCATAAATTAAACAAAGCATCCAATCATGCTAACAAAATAGAAATTAGTTATGATTTATAGCTTCAATGAGGTATTTGATGTACAGTGTGAGTGAATCGGATTCGAGAACAAAACATACAATAAGGATTTTCGATGCAATTGGAAAAATTTAATAAACGATTTATTCAACACGTTTCAAGTATGCATAAAAATGACCGATGTGTAACGTAATTCACGTTGCATTATTAATCGTTGATTACATATATGAAATCATTGATCAATCATTGTTAGAACACCACCATTAGAAATCCTGGAAGCAATGAAAGACGGCCGTCAAGTCCTGGTATGAGACTCATCAGTAGCAGTGCGCATCCATGACTAATGCTGCCACCCTCAGGATTCGAACCCGGCACCTTCGGTATTGTGTGCGAACGCCTAACCATCGGACCAGTGGGCCAGCATCCAACGGTGTTAATGTCTAACTCTGATTGATCTAGGGATTTTGCGAGACCTCACTCATTTGTCTTTGGTAGTTACTGCCTACACTCGACAGGGTTGAACTCAATTGGTCACGTCTTCTCAACCAGAACTCTGAGGATTTCCTCACTAAACTAGTCACTAGTGAACACTGTTACGATATTTTCGGGCAGAGCTTTTGGGGGTTTGTGTTTTTACACATTTGATGAGTCCCATACCAGGACGGAACGGCTGTCTTTCAGTGCTTCCAGGTTTCTAATGGTGGTCTAACAATGATTGATTGATGATTTCAAATGTGTAAAAACACAAACCTCCAAAACTCTGCCCAAAAAATCTTTGATTAGGCTGATTGTATATATATATATATATATATATATATATATATATATATATATATATATATATATATATATATATATATATATATTCAGATATAAACTGACTGATTTAGTAGAACTGAAATTAATGCGTACTTTGTTCTCATGATTATTTTGAAATATTTACTTGCCTTTGAAAATATCTGACATAATAAGTGTTAAAATGCTAATATTTAGAAAGAAATATATATTTATACATATTTGTAGAATAGAATTCACTTTAGACAGTCATAAGTATTTTTAAAAATTATTTATGCATACCAGTGACATGTAATCGACAATTTTTATTATGATGATCAGTAAATAATTACAATAATGACAAATATATGTAGACAGGTAAATCAATTAAATTTTAAAAAATAGTACTTGATTAAATCTTAAGTGAATAGTGGACATAGGCAGTGTGTGTATTGCATAAAAATTTCATTAACTTATGAAATACGTTTATCGGGTAAATCATTATTAAAAATTTTTTTCAAACAGAAGAATAATAAGGTTTCATGTTTCAATGATACCATTTGAACATCATCAGGTAAAGTAGCGGATATTCGAAGGTAACTGGTTTTTGATCATAGTTATCGTCAAATCATTGATCGTATGTCCTGGGACCACCAAGTGAGCAATGCTGTTGTTATGAGATGGGTACTAGGTAGGGATGCAAAGTTAGTGGTGGTTGGGATATGTGTTACGTATGTCCTACCACCGATTGCCCCGTTGAGCGATGTTGTCTGATATAGGGGTAGGCTGAAAGAAAGCTAGGGATGGCCAAACCGCAACATGACACAAAATCATGAAAAAAACTGACAGGTGGACTGTGCCATGTTGGTAGGTGTCGACAACCTGGTTAGGGTCCATGAGACAATACTAACGAAGGGTTTCAGACTTTGAATGACATGGTTGAAAATTGTTTCCAATGGCGCAGATGCATCCATTGTTTGTGTTCTTTCAAACTGTAATCTTCTGAATCCTTCGTCGCTTTTATCTCTGTCTTTTTTATGTTTATTTTACTGCATTTTACTTTTTCATTAACTTCGGTGTCCACTATTTCTGATACTTCTACTATATCCACCACTATGGAATTTGAATGAACAAATGGTATGACAACTTGAACTAATATACATACGTACCAAGTTCTACGTTGTAACTGACTGATATGATTTGAATGCTATTCGATTTAGAGTTGTTAAATAAAAGTGTTATTTATCAGGTACTATTTTCGATGCTAAAAATTTTTTTGACTATAATAGTTCTGGTTGTATAGGAAAATAAATTCACTATTGTATAAATTGACCACAATACAGTTTCATCAAATACTTCTTAATAACCCAAACCAGTTGACCCCTAAAAATAACATTAGCTATGCCGGTTCTCTACGTAACATGGTACTCACTTATTTGTAAGCAAACAAATATTTTAAAACTATATGTGATCTAGAACTTTCCAAAGAACTTCAACGAGCGAATATAATTTAATTGTACATTAAAAATTCAATTCATTATGCTGATTCAAAGATAATACTCCGTGCTGGAGCCCCTCTATGGCTACTGCCGGTCCCAACCTCAGATAAAGGTGGAGGGTTGGGTGTAGGTTTGGCGACCGCTCGCAACAAAACTAACTAAAATTCAATCCATTTTAACTCTGCTTTGGGAGTTATAAGATCTTCTTTCAGAAGAATTATGACGTCTCATGATGAAAGCCGAATTTCATCGGAAGTCATGAGGCCGATGCCCCTTCTGACAACCGGAGCAACTTCTGGTCGGTGGCCTATGTTCCATTGGCGATAACAGGTGAAAGTAAGTGAGTAAGTATTGAAAGATAAAGAGCTGATTATTTATCATTAAGTTAATAAACTTGATGGTTGGTGAACGACAGAGTCGAAGATGGGTACTTCATTCCTATTTAGAACTAGTCAGCTTATTTTTGATCCCTTAATTGTATCAAAACCATGAATCAAAGACACATCATGTCAGTTATCGTTCGAAATGTGTAGATCAGATTTTCTGATTAGAAAGGTTTATTTCCTATGTGTTTTTTAATACTTTCAGTTACAAACAAAGAAATCTTGTCTCATTACCTACAAACAAATGATAAATTTCAATAACTTGCTGAACTAAATGGGTTAATCATGATCATAACTTATCTGATTATCATCTCTTGGACTGATGATTGATTGCTCACTTTATCATTGTTATAAATTTCAAAATCATTATAAATTTCCATAATTTAACATATCATTTTGTTTGTTCTAAAAAATTATTTTCAGGGTTTTTGATTTATTAATGTTAAGTCATTTGAAAAAATCCAATTCACCTTCATATATTATCCATGACAAATATAATAATCATATAACACGTACCATTGATCACAATCACATGATCTCCCCTTCAAATGTCATCAATCCACCGCCGAATAGAAAATCAATTCGTGCTAGTAGTTCAACAATTCCAAATCAACAAACTATATCACCACAGGAGAATCTTTCACAATCATCAATCTATTCTAATGAATATTTACAATCAACTCATTATCCAGACATGACACTGCAATCATTGATTTCAAGAGAGATTGATTTGTCAAATCATGAAATAAGTATATGTCATACATTATCTGGTTTAACTAGTCGACAACGTTATATTTGTGCACAACATACTGGTCTAGTATGGGCAATGCTTGAAGGTACACATTTAAGCATGTTGGAATGTGTACATCAATTTAAACATGAACAATGGAATTGTTCAGCAGTGAATTTATTATATCGTGTCAATACTAAATCAACCACTCTGTCATCAATTCATGGATTAGAAGGAATTTTACAACGTGGTAAGTAGTTTCATGGATAATTCTATAATACATTTGAAATTATCAATCAATCATTGCTAGATGACCACCATTAGAAACCTGGAAACAATGAAAGACAGCCGTCAAGTCCTGGTATGGGACTCATCAGCAGTGCGTCTCCATGACTTCTGATGCACTTCGCAAGATTCGAACCCGGGACCTTCGGTATTGTGCGCGAACGCCTAATCATCGGACCACTAGTCCGGCATCCAACGGTGTTAATGTCTCACTCTGATTGATCTAGGGATTTTGCGTGACCTCACTCATTTGTCTTTGGTAGTTACTGCCTACATCCGATACGGTTGAATTCCATTGGTCACGTCTTCTCAACTAGAACCCTGAGAATTTCCTCACGAAGCTAGTCACTAGTGAGCACTGTTACGATATTTTTAGTTAGTGCTCTAACTGAAAACTTCTATAACACTTATTTTTATAAAATGGTGAACTACACAAGTAATTCTGTTCTGAATGCATGAATATATATACATATGTAGTAAGAAATCAAATGTCTTATTCCATAAAATCTCCTAAGGGTCTACATCATAATCAACTTAGTACAAACAACAGGGCGAAGCAAGTATATATTTATGTAAATTCAATAACAGCTAACAAGTGTTTATTAACAGTTGTCTACGCAAAATACTGCCTCGAAGTTGCTGCAATGAACGTCTTGCTGAGCGAGTTGGAAATCTGCCCCTTCAATAGGTCTCCATCTAAATCTCCTTTAAAACCGGCATCGGTATAGATTATTTTCTTTTCTACGGAAGACGTTACCGCTTCACGAGGCTAGGGTTTTATGTTATTATCAGAAACCTCTCCAGATACTCATATTCGACAAGTATTACTATAAAGCAGTTTAGTTGGTTATGTACAACCTTGAGATTATAAATCCTTCGTATCAGCGTAGCAAGGAATATTATAATTAAGCTTCGCTTGCAATTAACAGGGACCCAAGTATAAAAGCTTGATAGCTGACCATTTCATAAGGTATTTTTGTAGACAGATCTTCTTAGAGTGCTATCATGTTTTCTTGCTTTCAAATTAGAATGTGAAAATTATTGCTGCGCTGCACTTGTTAATTGTCTTTAGAAGATGATTCAAACCGTATTTATTATTACAAATTATAAAGATATCATTCATATCCCTTTTAGACAAGTAGAAATTGTCAATAAATGTTTTGAGTATATTATTTTCCCGAATAACCATGAAAGTATCTGCTAGTAGTAAGCCATGAAGATATCCCATTGCTTTATCATCCTTTTGTCCTTAAATACCGTCCGTAAATTAATAAATTATTATTCAAAACAGTGGTTTCCTTTGCTATATTTGAATAGAGAAATAAGAAGACATATTTTGTGAGATAGTACCATTTCGTGCTTTCTCGTCAGTCACATACAAGCAACATGTTATTTGTGTAAATACAGTTTTGAAGATAAGGTCAAAATTTCTTATTTAGCATGACATTCACTCACTAGAACCATGGTAAACAAAGGTCAACATACAGTTGTTTTTCAACACATAAAGTTGGACTCCATCGCCGTCCAGACGGATCAATCAGACGAAAAGTACACCGCGAACCCACCTGCTCGGGACAGTACCTCCACTTCACTAGTTTCTGCCCCATACAATATCAAAGTTCTGTTGTCAAATCTGCACTTTTGATACATTAGACGACAAATTCAAGCTTATTACTGAGAAACTTAAATCAAACGGATATCCCGAAACGTTTATTGGTCATCAGAACACAACTACGACGAAGCTGATAGCAACTGATGTACCCAAGAAACCAGTGTACCTACAGTTACCTTTCAAAGGTGATCATTGCATGAAAATTACAACCAAACAGACTGCAGCTGCAATAAAAAAGAGCTTCAATGCAGCTAATCTGAGGCTTATCACAACAACTCAATCGATCTCAGTTACCCAAATCAAGTCTCCAAGACCGATTCAGTCCAAATCCCACTGTATTTACCAATTCACATGTAACTGCGGAGAAAGTTATTTGGGTAGGACAGATCACCGATCGGAGGACAGGATAGGGGAACATATTCCAAAATGGCTAATCAAATCCATGATTCATCCACCTAGCCCGTCATCTCAAAATCGATCAAGAAACCCAGCCTCGTCCATTGCAAAACATCTAATGATGAGCGGTCATCAAATTGACACAAAATCATCCTTTAGAGTTGTGACATGTCATCAAAACCCACACACACTCAAACTACTTGAAGCTATCTTGATTGGTCGGAAAAGTCCAACTTTATGTGTTCAAAAACAACTATATGCTGACCTTTGTTTACCATGGTTCTAGTGATTGAATGTCATGCTAAATAAGAAATTTTGACCTTATCTTCAAAACTGTACTTACACAAATAACATGTTGCTTGTATGTGACTGACGAGAAAGCACGAAATGGTACTATCTCACGAAATATGTCTTCTCATTTCTCTGTTCAAAATTATTATTCATCCAATTTAATAGTTGAGCTGATGGTAAGAACTTTGCGATCGGTATGGAATTTGAGTCACAGTGTAGCCGTCATTAAATGCTGAGGGTATGTCTGCTGATAAATCCAAAATAAGCTGAAATGCACGTCTAGGATTTCTCTGCTTGTTTTCACATTGCAATGAATTTTAAATTTTCTAAAATTATTTTATTACCACAAATAATAATGCCAAAATGTTCTAGTAACTTTCAATTTCCAGAAATGTATAAATGTTACTTCTAAAGCAAATGCATTTAAAAATCTGACACTAAATAAGATAGTTCTACTCATTACTGCGTTAGTTTTTCGAATTCGCATACAAAGATAATTAGTTCAGCTATTTCACGATCGATGTCCATGAGCCTCCCGATTATTGTTCATATAAACAAACCACTTCCATGAAAGAAAATTCTGTGACCTATAAACTGAATGAAATTATAAATATATTCATTAAAATATATACTACTATATAGTAGGCAATTCTGGCAAATAAAATTTTCACAAGCTTAACTTTCAAATATTGAGTATTCCCATAATGTTGCGGATTAATACAGACAAAAGGGAAACCGAGTTGATGAATAGAATTGAAATTTTTTGAGAATATTATTATTAAAACACTCAGTGAATGGATCTCAAGATTTATAGGGCCTTTCATTCTAAATGTCTAGTTCAATTTCTTCCACAAGATATTAGTAAAGTTATTCAGTCCATTTTTAAAGAATTCAAAAACTGCTATTTTCTAACATAATTAGTTTCAGTCTTTGAGTAGCCATTGTTGGATCTTCACCTAATACCTCACTGTTAATGGTATATTTCTTTACATTAAGGATCAAGAGAAACTGCGTTTCTTTCATCTTCATGGTCAGCTGGTGTAGTACAAGCAATAACTCGAGCCTGTAGTCGAGGTCAAATGGGAACATGTGATTGTGATCCACGTCGACGTGAAGGTCAAGGTAGAGATGCTGAAGGAATTTTCACTTGGGGTGGATGTAGTGATCCAATACGATTCGGTATGCGTTTAGCACGATTGTTTTTGGATGCAAATGATGAAGAACATCGTAATGCTGCAGTTAGAAGAGAACAAGAACTTCAAGAACAAAAAATGCAACTGTTATCATCGATGAAATTCAGTAGTCAAGATAAACAAAATCCAAGAAAACGTCATAGAACTTATAGATTTTCACGTTCAATTAGTAATAGTACATCCGATCAAAATTTCAAATCAGACATCCTGAAAAAAGTAGAAACCTCAGTTAAACAAGAGAATCAGTCTAAAACTATCCTTTCACCTAGAGAAATTCAAGCGGAGACATTGCAAATTATTCAGACGAAAGCCAGAACATTGATGAATTTACACAATAAAAAAGCTGGAAGGCGAGTAAGTAAAGTGATCTCTGTATGCAATTGTTATCAAACTGTTTAAAAATTTATTGTTTCTAATAGCATTTTTGAAAGTTAGGTTTCTTATAGCCTGCTCATACTTGTAAGACATGTCACTTATACTGTCAAAATATAAAAATTACTTTTAAGTCAGTTAGTTCGAGCTGAATGCATATATCTCGGGATTGTGTTTTCATCACGTACTAATTTCAGCTGAAGAACTATGGAAAAGTAGAATAACTAGACAGTGCCTTATCGAATGATCAGACCAAGACATGGCAGCAATCCATGAAGTCTTTGACAAGTGAACTGAGTCATGTTGGTATATGTAGGCTACCTGGTTGGGGTCCGCGAGACAATAGTCACTAATGGTTAGAGACCTTAAAAGACATGGCTCAGAATCGTTTGCATCCATTCGTTGTGTTCTCTCTAATCCTAATCTTCTGGATTCGTCAACACCTCTACCTTTGTCTTTCTAACCTTATCTCACTGAATTATACTTCTTGAATAATATCTTCGAACCCTAGTCTTCTTCATTACCATTAATACCTCTACTATCTTTATCACTATGGCATTTGATTTAACATTTGCTGTGTGTTAATGCGGTATGGTAACCTGAACTTATGTACATACGTACGAAGTTCTACGTTGCAACTGACTGGCTGACTGACTGACACATTTACAGATTATTAGATTTGATTAAGGTTCCATATTCAATTTGTAGTCGAGAAAATTGACTCTTGAATTATCGCTAAATTTAAAGAAATATGAACCTGACTTCCAATACAGTTTATTCAATATTTCCTAACTAATCAAGAAGAAGGTTGAAATTTGTAGAAAACAAATCCTGAATAAAAATGAATCCAGTTTATTAAAATTCAAAGATGACATACCATCTACAACAACTTCAGTGATATGTCACCTCACAGAATATTTTCCCATGAAGATAAACATGTTTGTGATATTTCTATACAAATCAAATACTTAAATATTGCATCGAATCAAGAATAAAATCTAATATTCTTTCTTGAAAATTACAATATAACTATTATTCTCAAGTAAATAATTCATCGGGCGCATCAATCTTAAATCATTGCGAAAAAAAATTACAGAATAAAATCTACCGTATCTAATTTCTTGCAGCATTCAAACTATAAATCTATAGATTGATCATAGTTAGACAATAAGGTCGTTGGATGCCATCACAGTGGTCTAGGAATTAAGTGTTCGTATGCATGACCGAAGTTCCTCGGTCCGATTTTCACTTGAGGAATCATGCATGCACACTGCCGTTGAGTTGCATACTAGGATGAAACGGCCGTCCAGTGCTTACATGCTTCTGATGACGGTCTGACAATGATTGATTCACATTTCTAATGTAAGACCATAAATATTTTCAGATAGTGGAGAAAACTCGTAGCTCAGGGGGAAGTTTGTGCTGATGATGTTTTTGAGAAGAACAATGAAAGCTCCACAACCAAAACAACCAGCTCAGAGAACGAAACACCACCACAACCATAAATATTTCGATAATTAATTAGTAATAGCGAGAAGACAATTTTATCGGCCTTACATTTCAATTTAAACGTAGATAGTTTGTGAATAAAATATAATAATAATAATCAAATCTAACACCAGTTTATAGATGATCTTTCGTTCAATTATTCCGAAAGTATGATTATAAAAATGTTTAAGTTTAAACTATAACTATTATTAACATATGTTGATGACAGTTCTATCCGTCAATATAAGTTGTAGGATCCAAACTGAGGTTTGGACTGTAGAATAACTGTCTACTTAGTTGAGTTACGCATCTTGCTCAGTTTAAAACCAAAACAAGTTATTTGGGTGAATAACGATTCTAATATTCATCATAAATATAAATATACATAATTACAGTTTTTTCACCAATAATTGTTCGATTATTCAATTCAACAACAACAAATAAATGATATTCTATCACTCCTGAATAGATCAGAGTTGTTCGGAAGATAAGATTTGATTACTTTATAGCACAAAATGTCTCCTATTCTAAAAGAGTGCTTCAATTCACAATCAAAATGCACAATTCCAGTCAAGGCAAGCAACCCAATCAAAAGAGGAACAAATCAATATCGCTGTCGCAATGATTAATTATCAGCTTAAACAACATAAATGCAGTTCAGAAAGAAACACAGAGACTCAGTAAAGACAGAAGAAATAGTAACTATGATAAAATACAAATATATTATCATCTTAAAATGGAATTGAACAGATCAACAAAATGTACAACCGAATAAATCAATGTGGACAAATTACAAATTCATACACGGAGGGATTTTCACAAATAAAGCCTTCGAAAAGTGGATCTGACATAAGTTACTAAGCTTTTAGATATTTTTCAATATAGTAAAACGAGATGTATGTCATAAAGTATTAAGGAAACCAAAAACAAAAAGTTAAATCTCTCTCATACTTATGCTGAATAGATCAATACTCGTTATTATTTTATTAATTCACTATTAAATATCTGATTATCATAGCGTTGGAATGATTTCTCGTTAACTTAATTTTTCAATTAGATTTATGGAGAGTAGTGTTTGTTGCACATTGATATCACCAATCAATCATAGTTAGACCTCCACCATTAGAAACCTGGAAGCACTAGACAGCCGTTTCGTCCTGGTATGGGACTCATCAGCAGTGCGCATCCACGACTCCAGCTGCGCCTCGCAGGATTCGAACCTAGGACCTCCGTTCTTGCGTGCAAACGCCTAACCTCTAGACCACTAGGCTGGCATCCAATGGTGTTAGTGTCTGACTCTGATCAATCTGCAGATTTTGATTCAATGATATTTAACTTCTATCTTGTGGTCGTATGAATATGCATGTATATGTTTATTGATTCATACATTTGTGTCATCCCGATACTCCTGTTCAAAATTTAATTGAAATTAAGTTTTAACAGTTAACGATAAATATTGGAATAACTGAATACAGTTTACTCGATTGGCGAATGTTTTTATAATCATTGTTAGACCACCACTAGAAACCTGGAAGTAATGCCCAGTCACAAGTCATAGATATACACTGCTGACAAGTCATACAGACTAAAATGAAACGACTATTCAGTTCTTCCAGGTTTCTAAAATGATAGTCTAACAATGATCAATTCATAATTTCATCGGAACTCAACAATCTTCATAATTTGATCATGAAAATTACTTTTGATCAACAATCAATTCTTAACTTACAATCTACAATCAAATAATCGAATTATATCATTATTATTCAATCAAACTCATTTTTTTCTAACAACAAAATTCAGACTATACAACTTTACACGTTGTAAATTATTTAGACAGTTATAAATTTGTCTGAATATTTATTTCTATGATACAATTTTGACTGAACAAAAATCTAACTCTATGATGTATCACTTTTAATTTGTAAAGATTCTTAGTTTGTTTTTTTTACTAGTGTGTATATGTTTGATAATCAAATACAGTTATGCTTAACATTAACATCATGATAATATGAGATGAGCGGAGAAAATCAGAACATACAAATCATTTCTTTCAAAACTTTTTTTCTGTAGTTTATAACGATCAAAATGAATTGAAGTTTTCTAGGTGTAGCAATAAACGATGAAAAATGTTATACAAATTGTGAATAATTAATTTAAAAAAGAATAGAACAACTTGAAGCTATTGTCTTATTGCTCTAAACAAACTTAATTATCTACTTACTTACACCTGTTACTGTTAATTGTGCGTAGGCCATTGACCAGCATTCTACTAAATACTCTATATCCTGGGATTCTACCGAATGTGGTTTGACCAATCCCACTGTAGGTGTTGCTGATCGTGTCTGGAAAACAGATTTGGAGCATCTTTCGTAGACAAATGTTATGAAACACCTACACCAATACAATTAAACTGTTTTGATCTTTGTATTAAAAAATGTCAGTCAGTCAGTCAGATGCAACATAGAACTTTGTACGGAAGTACATCAGTTCATGTCGCCATACCACATCAGCACAGAGATATAATTGTCAATACTAATCCAATAGTAGAAGAGGTAGTAAAGACATTAGCAGTAGTCAGAGAGGTTAGGATTAGAAGAAATTCAAGAAATATGATTCAGTGAGAAAAGTTTAGAAAGTCAAAACTAGAAGCGTTGAAGAATTCAGAAGATTAGGATTTAAGAGAGAACACAAAGAATAAATGCACCGGCGCCACTTCAAACGGTTTTGAACCATGTTATTCAGGGTATCTAACCATCGATTATTATCATCTCGCGGACCCCAACCAGGTAGTCGACAACTACCGACATGACTCAGTCCACTTCTCAATGACTTCATGGATTTCTGCCTTGTTTTGGTTCGGCCGCCCCTAACTTTCTTCCAAAGTCACATTAAAAAATGTGACTTTAATGTTTGTCAGTAGTTGTTTTTCGATTGTAGAAGTGCAGCCTTTCTTTGCTAACCCGAGCCTTCACATCTGATTTGAATCCATCTGACTCATTTATATGATGCTGCTCAAGTTTAAACTATAGTCAATGATATTTAAGGACAGAAATCAGCCTTCGTAATGAACCTTATATAGAGTTCTATGTCGATAAACAAGTTTAAGCACTGATAGTCATGTATTTAGCCTAACATTCATTTTGTTATCAGGTAATCAGAATGTTTGAAGGTTGAATTTCAAAGATCGATCGATGACAATTGTGACAGACATCTGTTTTATACTCAAGCTCAAGACTGAATTAAATACTCACGGTTAGCTCATTGTATGTTCAAATAACAATCATTTTGAATTAATTTGAGTGTCCAGAAACCTACCTTAAAAATGTCTGCTCACCAAAGAACAAACTCCATAGTGATGCTCGAAAATCTTCTGAGATATAAAAAAGAAGTTAGGTTTAAACTATTTTTTTGATTGATTGTAGGTGACAAAGCATCTAGTCTTTAGGTCTGATGGTAACGTCCACGTCGCTACAATCAAACATACTATGCTTGCTTATTGATAGGCTCGTGAATATCAGAAGAAACAGCCAGCTACTTCAGTTTGGCTCCTAATAATTCTTTGGTCAATCGTCCTGGAAATAAACTTAACAAACTTATTGAATGACGAATAGAATGATTAGAAATGTTGTAATCAACATCATCATAATAATATTTTTAGTCATATTCAAAAAGTGTTGTTTTCATTTCTTTAGTTAATATGGAAAAATCGTGTAACTCAATGTAAATGTCATGGTGTCAGTGGTGCTTGTTCAATGCGTACATGTTGGCAACGTGTTAATGAATTTCGTCTTATTGGTATGCTGCTTAAATCAGCCTATAATTCAGCTATACATGTCACTTATGAACCAAGATTAGATATACTCAAACGAATTAACACTAAACTGAATTCGAATAATTATATGCCACGAAGAAATCATCCATTAGTATCGTCAAATTATAATACAAATTCAAAGAATTGGTTAGTATTCGTTAAAAATCAAACGAATCACAATAGAAAACATTATTTAAATGATTTTTTATATAATGAACAAGTTCATCGTAGATGGCCACGTATGACAATGATGAAATCAAGAGATATACCAAATAATCAATTAGTCTACTTGGAAGAATCGCCTAATTATTGTTATTTTGATGAAACGATAGGTGAGTTAAAAAATTCATGTCATTTAACTACTGACTGTATTGATTATGCATTGAATAGGTTCATTATAAGTGATTGTTGGGGATGTTAGATGCCCGAAACTCGCTTGTTCAATGCCTTATTTTGGATTTCACGTTTGCCAGCATGGGCTGATCAGTTGACCTTGAGATCGCATTTCTCACCAGGAAAATCCTTGGCTGTGATTGGTTGCTGTGTATTTTAGTGCGCTATTTTCGTAAATGTCCCAAGGACGTTTCTATAATGTATAAATAAACGATTGTGGAAGCGAGATTTTTATTGATAGAACAAGGAGATGCTGATATAGAAAAAAAATAGGTGATGTTTATCTGGAACATTCAGGTCACGAATATATTTGTCAAGGCATTTTATATGAATAATCGTACAATGTGTTCACTAGTGATAAGAGAATTTGTGATCAAATTCTAGAGTTTTAATAAGAAGACTTGACTTGTGGAGCATAGCCCTGTTGGGTGTAGGCAGCAACTGTCGAAGATAATGAATGAAGTTACGCAAAATATTTAGATTGATCGGATATAGTCATTAACACCGTTGGATGCCGACTCATTGGTCCATAGGTAAGGCGTTCGCACACAACACCGAAGACCCTGGGTTCGAACTGTGTGAGTTGCAGGAGTAGTGGATGCGCACTACTGATAAGCCTCACGTAAGGATAAAACGGCCATGCAGTGCTTCCAGGTTTCTAATAACGGTCTAACAATGACTGATTCATGATTTCAGCAACAAACAACAATTTCCGTAACTCAAAATGAAGAATTAATTAAAGGTCAATGAAATAAAAGTTCAAATAAATGTTAGATGATGGGTACCATTGATAGGTGATATTATTCTATTCATATTTTGTACTTTTATTCCATATGGAATAACGATTGTACAAAATTGTAAAGCATCGAAATCGATTAGGGCTATTGTTGTAAGATCCGTTTTTTGAAGGCTTTGTTTGTGAAAATCCTTCCATGTATACATTCGTAATTTGTCCTTATTGATTTCTTCAGTTGAACATTTGGCTGGTCTATTTGTTCTGCCTTTACTGAGTTTCTATGTTTCTTTCTGAACTTCATAATGTTGTTGTTTAAGCTGATACTCAGTCATGGATTGCTTGCTTTGACTTGAATTGTGCATTTTGATTGTGAATTGAAGCACTCTTCCAGAATAAGAAACACTCTGTGTTATAAAGTAACCAAATATTATCTTCCGAACGACTCTGATCTGTTCAGGAGGGATAGAATATCATTTATCTGTTGTTGCTGATTTGAATAATTGAACAATTGTTGGTGGAAAAACTGTGTGGTAATATTTGTTTATGTAATGATGTATATTTATATTTATGATGAATATTAGAATCGTTATTTACCCAAATCACTTGTTTTCGATTTAAGCTGGTCAAGACACATATTTAAACTACGTAGACAGTTATTCCTCAATCCAAACCTCAGTCTGAATCCTACATTGTTTAGTGTTTCATTATGAATTTTCAAAGTTTCACCAACTGATAGCTAATCTTGACAAAAATTGTCTTAAAGTAGTTGTGGATTGCTGTACAGTTATCTTTTAATATAAATATTTATGCGTACTCAGTTGTCAGTGACCATGAATGCGAATAGATTAACAAGGGAAGTAATGACTAATCAAATATACTTATTTTATTGTACAAATTTCATCGTAGTAATAAGAAAACATAAACCTCCAAAGCTCTGCCTGAAAATATCGTAACAGTGCTCACTAGTGACTAGCTTCGTGAGGAATCTTCTCCGAGTTCTAATGGGAAGACGTGACCAATGGAGTTCAACCCTGTCGGGCGTGGGCAGTAACTATCAAACACAAATCGGTGAGGTCGCGCAAAATCCCTAGATGAATCAGAGTTAGACATTAACACCGTTGGATGCCGGACCAGTGGCCCTGTGGTTACCGAAGGTGCCGAGTTCGAATACTGCGACGGGCAGCATGAGTCGTGGATGCGCACTGCTGATGAGTCCCATACCAGGACGAAAAGGGGCCGTCTTTCATTGCTTCCAGGTTTCTAATGATGGTCTAGCAATGATTGATTGATGATTTCAAAAATGTGTAAAAACACAAACCTTCAAAACTCTGCCTGAAAAAACTGAAGAGAATACAAATTAATTTATGTTAAATGATACTCATCTCACTTCACCTCATGAACTGAATTCATCTAAATAAATGATAGAAAGAAAATTATAATGCATAAAACAACAACTTGATCCTAAGATGACATCATTGAATTCAAGTCATGAGACAAGAATTTTATCTCTAAGCCTCGGAATTCACATCTGATGTTGTGTAAACTTTCCAAGTCAATCAATCAAACATTGGTTTATAAAGTTAGCAGTTGAAAAATTATTGATTTCAGTTAATGAGTTGAAATCAAAATAATTTATTAAAACTCAGTTGATATATATGGAACTATTGTTTTTAAAAAGGTCAAAACGTGAGTACTACTTAAGTTATTTATACAACTGAGGCTGTTATTGACGTCTTTTGTACTGAAATAAAGGATAACTAATCGCTGAAGGAAGGTAACAAGCAATTTATCGTTGAAACACTTCTAAATGCAATTTACAATACTGATTATAGCACTGATTTAACAAAACAAGTTTATCAAGCAACTTTCACCTTGATTTCATACTGTATCATCACAGAAGTACAAATAAGATTAAGCGAAAAAATTTCATTATTGTCTGTCACAAAATAGTAGCCCTCTTGATCAACATAAAACATAGATCCAACCTCTGAAAATTAAATTCACTTCACATGCTGAAATACTGTAAAACACTGGATGCAATGATGAACGAATCATTGTTAAACAACCATTCAAAGCCTAGAAGTATTGGACGGCCGTCAAGTTCTGGCATGGGACTCATCAACAGTGCGCATCCACGACTCCTGCTACTCGCAGAATTCGAACCGATGATCTTCGGTATTGTACACGAAAGCTTCACCTCTAGACCACCGAGCTGGCATCCAACAAAGTTTATGTCTAATTCTGATCAATCTAAGCATTTTGCGCAATCTCACCTATTGTCTTCGATAGTTACGGCCAACAACCCACTGGGGTGAACTCCAGTGGTCAACTTTTCTCACTAGAACTCCTGGAATCTCACGAAGCTAGTCACTAGTGAGCACCTATAGGTTGTTATATATATACACAAGATACAGAAACTTGAATACTAAAAACACTTATTAAATGTATTGTGGAAGCTTATGCAACAGGCTATCATCTATATTTAATGTTGACTTTGAAAAGTGTATCACCACACTTACCGAATTAAAATCATGTGGTGTATAAATTTACAATAAGACAGCCATAGCAAACTAGTTATATCATAAAGGGAATTAATGGAGATTGCATTATCTAAGCTAAACTATCATCAGAAACCTAAAAGTATTAGGCGACCATCTTAGTATGTATGTATCCTGCTGAAGAGTCCCATAATAAGATGAAATGTCCATCAATCGCTTCCAGGTTTTTAACTGTGATCTAACCTGAATCAGCTCACGATTTCAATCATTGAAATATCTGTTTTTTTATTTACTTATTTCAACGAATTCAGAGTTGAATGGCGCTCTAAATAAACTATTTCTACGTAGTGTGTGCACCGCTTTACCCACTACCCTTCGTATTCTCATGTCTGTCCGTATGAACAATGGTTTAAAATCAACTGATCCAACCCATATTTGACTACAGCTAAAACTACTGATGTTGTACAAAAAGCCTACCCTAAGTATGATATACCGAAACTGAAGGCGAGATTGATCTCATAGCCTACTTAATTGTTTGTAGATATCGGAATTAGATTACGAGCCACTAAAGCAGTGAGCCCTACTTCGAGTTTAACACAGTACACTAAACCTAGTTATATCACTAACCCGCTATAAACTCACCCTTAAGTTTTCATTCTCATTTGACCTTTATTAATAATAATTTGACTATCATCATCATCATCATCAATTCACAGTAATCATATCTGTTCTAAATAGTATGCGGGTATTCAACCTTAAAATAAAAAGGCGATGACTTGACAGTTTACATGTTTATCCTGCGTAATGATTAAGCTAAGCGTTATAATTATAAAACTAATTAGTGGGGAAATTCAGTCACATTATAATGTTGTTAGGAAAATTCTTTTTTATCGATGTAAATTAAGGACAATAACGGATTATTCTGTAATTGTTACATACAATTAATTCAATCAAGTTAAATACAGACTATAACTAATTGCATGATTAATGATAACTTGTTTTCATGTATAGTAGTTAGTACCTTGGATATATTATGTGTTTGACCTAAATTTTTGAAAGATTTCTCTTTTAAATGTGAAGTTAGATAAAGAAAAACGCTAGGTAAGATTAACATTTCATGTTATAAATCGCTTCTCCGGTTAAATGACTCATTGCTTGTGGAATTTTTAATGTAAATTTATATTAAAAAAGATGATTTATGAGCAGTTCCGTAAGTTGAAAAGTATTTCTCGAAGTTGTCGATCGATAACGAATTAGAAAGCATTAGGAGTTCAACTGGATAACTTACAGTTTTATTGAGTCTTCTGTTAATATTATTCTATGACAGAAATTCATCCTCATATTGATTTTTGCAGAGTATTATGGTTGAAAAACATTTGAGTACTTCTTAAAGTCTGGATTCAGTCGCTTCTAGGCCACAATTAGAAGCCTGGAAACGTTAAAAAGACGTTTCGTCGTAGAGTGGGACTCCTCAGCAGAGTGTATCGATGACCCTCGCTCGCAGCAATCAACCTGTCGGGTGTAAGCATTTACCTACCGAAGACAAAGAATGAGACGACGCTATAGCTTGGATTGATCAAAGTTAGAGACTAACACCAATGTATGTCGGCTCGGTGATCTGGAGGTTACGTGTTCTCGCGCAAGAATGACGACCCTAGGCTTGATTCCCGTGGGCAGAGGTCATGGGTGCACACTTCTAATGAGT